CAAAATGGTTTGCTCAACTTTTCCTACAGCTTAATCTTCCTCTCCTTCCTCATATAAAGGAAAATTGAGGTTCCAGAAACTGTGACAGTGCGTTCCAGACCTCTGTTTTCACCCTTCATAACCATGGACTCCTGAAAACAAACCCGATCCTAGTGTTCTTTTGACTGGGTCCTTAGTGAAAGAGAGAGAGAACCTGAGGCACTAGGTCAGACTTTGATTACTCTGAGAATGGTAGAATCATTGTTGCTGGCTACTGTGTAGTCCAAACTTGAATCTCCAGTCACTTTGGGAAACACACACACACACACACACACACACTGCATTGGCAGTGATCCTTTAGGTATGAAGATGAGGCTTAGGCAGAAAGAGGGGACTCAAATGTGACATATCACCTTCTTGGAGCCAAGGGTGAGGATGAGGTGACAGGGAACACCTAGGAGACTTGGGAAGGCCAATGAGCCGTGTCCCTTGCTGTGCAGCTCAGCACTGTGGAATGCAGGATGGGAAGTCAGGCAGCTGGGCCTGGACTCTGACTTCCCCACATAAAATGATGTGCCCTTCAGTACTCGGCCTCGGCGTGTCTCAATGGTTTCATTAATAAAACAGGAGAAGTTATTTGTTGTGTGATATTTTGATTGTGTTTCTGACAAATAAAGCTTTCTTGGAATCAGAGGGTGGAGCAAGCTACTAGCTGACCTTAGAGGTTTGCAGGATTGTAGACAGAGAGAAGACAGGAAGTAGAAAGGCAGGTCTGAGAGAGGATGGGGGGAGGGGGGTGCTTTTGAATGGAGGAACGGAAGAGGTAGGAAGCAACTGGTGACTGCTCCCTGTTCTCTGATCTTTCAGGTTCTTACCCCAATATTTGACCCCCAATTTTTTATTGATAAAGATTAATTAGATTAACACTTCAGTTATTTTGTGAGTGTCAAACTGGCTGGATTCTGGAGACTGATGAATTACTTGTAACCTGGTAAAATAGTTGTACATATAGGCAAGTGCTCTGTTTGTGTAAGACTTTAAAAAAAAAATCTGTCGACCCTCACATTATTTGATGTCATTTTGCGAAGCTGCTTCTTAATATGTGACCCAATCTGCCTGATTTATAAGTCGCTGTCACATGGTGAGTGCCGTGAGCTACTTTCATCTCCTTAAATTGGGCCTTCAGTTATTCCGAATTCTTGAGACCCGAAGTGTTTTGTTTTGTTTTCAGGTTGGGAACATTTGTGTAGATTTCCTGGTCGAGCATTCCTAATCCATCGTGCTGCTGTTTTAAATGTTTCAAATTTTGGAGCTCTTCAGAGTTCTTTTTTTTTTAATGCTTCATTTGTACTGTGGTCACTTACTACAGATAGGTGCACATGCTCGTTAAAACCACGAGATGGCAGCAGAGGAAACCATACTTCAGGGGATGTGGTCTCCTTAGAGACTGACCTTAGAGACGCTTTATCAGTCTTGAGCTTAGCACAGACAAATGATGTAGACCAAGAACAATGTGGTTTGCCTGCCTAGAGCCACCATTCATTGTTCCGTTCAGAAGTGATATCTGTGGACTGGACACCATCCAGACTACCTTCCAGCTCACATAACCAACCTTAAATCTGGCTTTCTCCAGGACTGCCACTCTGTTCTTTCTGAATCATATTTAAATTTTGTTATACTGCATTTTGAAACTAAAATTGTGTCTCTATACCTGGTATTTTTGGAGATAACATATATATATATATGTTTTATTTCAGTGTGTGTGTGTGTGTGTGTGTGTGTGTACAGGCACATATGGGTCATTTATGTGCAGTAGCCCAAGGAGAGCAGAAGAGGGTGATGGGTCTCCTGGGTCTAAGTTACATGTGGTTATAAACTACCACACACAGGTGCTGGGAGCAGAATACAACTCCTCAACGTTGAGCCCCACACTGCCGTTTCTAGTTACAATTATTCATTTGAATTTTTCAACAAAAGTGCAGCTGGAAATGAGCACAGACACAAGGAGGATGGCAATGTGTAAGTAAGCTCTGTACAAATCAGTGTGGATAACGTAAAGCAGTCGGAATCCGCCATAGTTAAGCTTTGGAAAGGAGGTGGTCCAAATCCTGGTGGAGGAGTGGGGTTAACAAAGCAGAAGTCAGCAAGTCTCTCTCTGCCAAGTCAGAAGCACTTGGCAGCAAAACACAAAGTAGGGTTAGCACATATAATTGATCTTAATTATATGTTTTATAATTACATAAATCCATTAAGCATAAAGGGGAGGAAGTGCCATGTTCTTAATGAAAAATGTTTTCCCTAACTAGTTACGGAACAAAAGAGTACACTAAAAGCATGTGCTTATGTATGTGGCGTGGGGGGTAAATTTATTTTACCTAAAATGCATGATACATAAAGCAATGAAATCCCAAGAATATATACTATTCTTCAAATGTTCATATAGACGCTAAGAATTCTTGGGAACTGTGTGGATGAGGTTTTTTTCCATCTCCTTTACCAAAAAGCCTTAACGATCTGGCTCAGAAGGTAAACCTTCTATGTTCTGCTCTGAGTGTGATATAGAAAGGGATTCACAATCCAGCACAGGGTGATTCCTTGTGTTGTATAGACAACTATAAAAATTCCTGGTGATGTAACACTCTAACTTCATACATTCTTTGGTTGTGCTGTTAACTGAAAACCTTATTAGAGTCCCTTTTTATGGTAAAGGTCCTGAAAACGAATAGACCACTTCTGAGCATAGTGATAATGATTAATTTTGTAGTAAGTCCCAGCAGAGGAAATTCAAAAGCTCTTGTAGCCATGGAGACTGAGAATTCTAGAGCTTTGAGAGAAGGTTGAGAATAAAATAATGTTTTCTATATTTAATACTCTGGTATTAGAGGGAACCTGAATGGCCTTCTACAGCATATATTGTCTTTGTTTTCAAAATTGCCTGTGTAACATTGTATCATCACTGAGTACACAGTAAGTTGGTAAGGTAGAGTTAGCTTTCCAAGACCCCCTGAAATAAGTCATTCTCAATGCTCTCTCAAACATAGAATTCTAGTAGATGTTCTTCCAGAATGCTAAAGAGTCAACTTGGTGAGGAAGCAACACATTCTAGAAAACTCTATACACATTAATTAACTGTATAACAATAAACATAAACTTTTTATCAGATTAGGAAGGGACTTCAGTAGTTCATTTGGTTCAGCTCCTTTGCCTTGCAGAAGGACTCATTATCCCCTCTTTATAAGTCAGAGGTAGGCCTTCAGAGAGATGGTTCGCCATTGCTAAGGTTGATGGTGCTTACTGGTGAGGACAGGGCAGTCTCCTGACCTAGCCCAGTGTTATACTCAACAGTCTTCCATTGGGGAAACTCCTGAGAAGGTTTTGTTTTCTCAGAAATTCTTTCTTGTTTCTATCAAGCCAAAATACCCAGAATTTGACATACAATATAATTCCCCCATAACTGTATACAAAATTACTACTAAGAAATTGGTGGTGGCTGGGCAGTTGTGGTGTATGCTTTTAATCCCTGAAGGGGCATTTCAATTGTATTTTAATAAATAAAACTTTTATTTATTTTTCTGTCTGAGGATCAGAAAAGTAAAAGAGCCACACTGGCAAGACTTATAAACCAGTCAGAAATAACACACACCTTTAATCTCAGTAGACAAACTAGCTTGCCATAGAAACCAGTTGGTAGTGGTTCATGTCTTTAATCCCAGCTCTGAAGAGGATTATGAAATGGGAGGAGACAGCTCTTAGTCAAAGTCATCCCTAGATTCCTGGAGGCAGGACCACCATTTTCAGACTGAGGTTGAAGTAAAAGCCAGTGGCTGGCTGCTTTGCTTTTTGGACCTCAGGTTGAACCCCAATTTCACTCTCTGAGTTTTTATTAGCCGTGCTTCAGTTCCCAGCACTAAGGAGGCAGAGGCAGGCAGTTGTCTGAGTTCAAGGCCAGCCTGGTCTACAAAGTGAGTTTCAAGACAGCTAGGGCTATTACACAGAGAAACCCTGTCTGAAAAAATATAAAAAAGGAAAGAAAGAAAGAAAGAAAGGAAGGAAGGAAGGAAAGTGGCATTTTAAATAATCCAGTTATTTGATCTCCTTGAGAGTAAAGCTGACCCCTTCGGCAGTTGGTTCTCTGGCAATCAAAAGTCATTTTGACTAAAGACAAGAAATAAAGCAAAGCTTTCAGATCTTTTCGTGATCCGGTGACGCGTGTGCTTAAGCGAACATGGCAGAAATCAGGTCTGAGGCAAACCTAATCAAGATATGCTCGACGAAGTCAGATGTTAAAGCTTACAGCTAGCAACGCCTGGCAGGGAAAACTGGTGCCCTCCTCGGGCTCTATTTCTTTATTTTTAGAGTTGTGTACATGCGTGCGTCTCTCTGGGGTTGCGGTCCTGTGAGGCAGGGGCCTGCGGAGGACAGCGGCATTGGATGCTCTGGATCTGGAGCGCTAAGCAGTTCTCCGAGGCCATTTTATTCTACCTTCCCCTCTAGTAGGCTACATATTCCGATTCGAGAAAAGAGAAGAAGGCAATAGAATGTTTCATTTAAATGAAGACATGGAGAAAACCAAAGACTAGAGTGAGGAAAGACAGTGGTAGAAGACAGAATTCAGAGCGGAAGGAGGAACCTCGATTTTGGTTTGCGTTCATAGAATGGAAGACAAACTATCATCGCCTTCCATCTTCGCAACAGCTCTCTGAGGTCGTTAATATGGGCGTGTGGCAAAATACCACTCGCGCTGATTTTCACACGGGTACCCACTAACAGAGCTAAATGCCTGTTTGACATGACTTGAAATTCCGTACCCATTTAAAATGGACCAACATGACGCAATAGTCATCATGACCCCATGTTGATATTTCATAAGAATGGGAGGTTGTCTCTCTATAAATTGGTTTTAGAATTAAGATGTTGGGTGGACTTCTGTAAATAGTGTCAGAGAGATAGAAAAGGAAGAGTTTGCACCGGAACCTTAGCATCAGAAAATCAAGCGCCCTGAACTTTGAAAGGTGCAGCTATCAAGGCTTCAGTTCAATACCTTCTTGTCTGTCTTCCTCATTTTCCTCAACCACCCTTTCTCCGAGGAAGCTATAGGGACCCTGTGTGGTGTCACCCACACATAGAATATTGGGTATGGAAATATCTCTCCAGTCCTGGCATGAAGGAATGCGAATATGTTTGATGTCTTCACTCCCAGGAATGAAACCAAACACTTTCTTGATGCGATGTCTGATGAGAAGTCGTGAGTGTTCCTCGGCGGCTTGTTCAAAGAGCGCCCTCTCACTCTGGAGGTGGTTGGACCAGTAGTGATGCTGCATAGAGGTGAGGGGAGAGCAGCATCTTCCCAGACATTTGGAGACCAGAAAAGCAATGGTTGCCAAAATGATCAAAATCCAGCCCAGCATCTACACATAATTAGTAGGAAGATAATTAGTAGGCACAAGCATCCATCAATACAGCACATATTCCAGAAGCAGTCACGGTACGAGGGAGTCCTACAGACCTCAGAACTAAAATGTGGGTCTTTGCTTCCAGTTTTTAATATATAATATACAGTGATGGTCATTTGATGTGGAAATAGCTGTGATGGGAGGACAGTGCCGCCTTCATATGGCAGAGGAATGTGACCTTTTCATGTGGGATGAGTTTTAAGTACTGCCCTTGAAGTAATAGACGCTATAAACCACCAATCAACCTTATATAAAATGCTAAAGCCTTGTCCTTTGCTAGGACCCAATTTCGCTTCTCAATCATTAGGTACAGACCTACATGTTTGTTGGGGGCTTAATTAGTATTAGATAATGAAGCTGTCAGAGGCACTAATGGCAGCCTCCCAAGCTTTCCTCAACGACCTGCTACCAAGCACTCATAGACTTATCTCCCTGCATTCCTCTTATCTTTGCAGTCAAAAAAGTCAGGAAACAACTATAGGCTCTCCCTTAAAGTTCCTTATTGTTTTCTTTGTTTAGATAAACTAGCTTTACTTGTGACTACTTAGTATCTGCTTTTTATTTTTATATTTTTTATTATTTGTTTATTTATTTTTGAGGCAGGGTTTCTCTGTGTAAAGCCCTAGCTGTCCTGAAACTAGCTCTGTAGATCAGACTGGCCTCGAACTCACTGCAATCCCCCTGCCTCTGCCTCCCAAGTGCTGGGATTAAAGGCAATGTACCACCACTGGCACTGGCAGTATCTGACTTTTTCCTTTCTTTCTTTTTTCTTTTTGTCTTAGAATCATTTTGTTCCCTTCTGTACCATTCTTTAAGAAATATTTGGCAACTGGAAGGTAAAGTGACGACAGACTTTTAGGCATGCTAACAGTACACAGTCACAGGTGGGCATTGCAAATGTCTTTCTCCTACAAGCTTTCCCAAGCTCTTCTGGCTGAGCTGGTTTTACGACTAGTCAAAATGAAATAAACAAACAACGCTAAAGAAAACCCCAAGACCAATTGTGACAGAGTATATCTTAGTGAAAATTTTCTTTTCTTTTTCTCCATTAGAGTATTATTGCAATATTTCAGGGTTCTGTGTCTTGGTAGTAATTTTTCTAACAGAACAGTATCAAAATAACTGAAGGAGAGCAGGTCAAAAGCCAGGGAAGTCTTTGCAATTAGTACCTTAAGATAGATGAAGCTTTTATGATATTTCAGTGCCTTGAAAATATGTTTTAACTCAGCCCTTAGAGAAACTGATGACTTTTTCTTGCCAAAATGAAAAATTGCACTTCTGAAATTGAACCTAAAAGTATTCCAGGCTCATGTCTTCCTCCTAGCCCATCCCACTCTCTGCCGCCACTAATTTATTCATGAACATTATATCTAGAGCCACCATTGGAAATTTTAAAAATATAATTGAGCTTCCTATAATTTCAGAAGAGATTTTAAATATAGAAGAACACAAATGTAAAAAAGAAACAGAAAAATGAGATTTAGTAATACGGCACTATTCTGATAATATAATAATTCTAACATTCATTATTTTAACAGACTGGACACAGTCATGAGCTCTTTAAATGTGTTAGTTAATCTTCTTATTCACAACCATTTAGGTGGCAAATTCTATTATTAGCTTTCTTTCACAGCTGAGGAAAGTTGGTACAACTTAATAAACAACGTGCCAGTCATGAGTGATAAAGCAATAGGAGAGAAGCTGGCCTACTGACTTCCAGCAGCTTAACTCTGTGTGCAGCTGCCCAGTGGAATTCATTCAGGTGCATGGGATCTAGCGTGTGCGGTGTAATCAGATAACAGGAGAAACAGCAGACACGGGATACCTTCATAGGAACCATAATAGGTTTGAGATAGTACCACAGAAAAGGAAGTCATAAACTCACTTGTGACTGGTATCTGTGGAGAAGAGCCACTTCGTCTCTTACTGGCATCACATCAGAAGGAGCCGACGTGTAGCATGGAAACCCAGCTAGGATCTCTTCCCGTTTGCTGGCAGTGACATTCGCGAACATTGGGTACTGGTCCACAGAGGCATACTCACTTGCCGCACATTCATAGTAGGTGCCTGTCATCAGGGTCACTGTCAGCCACGTCAGTGGAGCAACCAGCGCCCTCCCAGTGATGTTGAAGAACATGAGGCAGGCCAGCCTCCTCTCGAGAGGGCTGCTTCTCCGGTACGGAGGGGTACAGCTGCAGCAGCAGTATTCGCTGGCGACCGTCCACATCTGGCCTCTGAGAGCATAGCCAGCAATCAGAAGGATCAAGGCAGGAACCAGGAGAAAAGCCGAACCATAGTAGAAGTTCTTTCCGGCTTGACAGGGACAACTGAATGTGTAAGAGGAGAACAGTTGCTGCACACAAATAGTCAAGACCGCAATCAAAGAATTGGTGCACGTTCCGCTTCTCTGTAGAGACGAGAGAAGACAATTGAGACTTGGGCTCATGGCGGAAGCTCTGACCCAGCTAGCTGGTGGCCCTTTCTGATCTCTGGACTCCACCAGCTGTGACCATTTTATAGGATCACACTGGTTTGACTGGTTGTGTCAAGTGACCCGACATCCTTATGTGTTTAAAGGATCCATAGACTCTTCTCATGTTCTTTGTAAATCCTGAGCTAATAAATTCATACCAGATAGTAGCTTTGAGAAAGAGGAGGGACCTCAGTTCTGTGGGAAAAGAGAACTTTTCAACGTCCCTTCATGGACGACCACGGCACACTTGCCAGACTGACACCCTCCATCTTGCTATGCAGCACTTTGTAAAACGCAAAATGTTAAGCATCAGTCAACACAGCCTAGGAAGAGAAACAGAGGCACTCTTAAGGCAGTGACAGATTCTATAGCCAAAGCATCACAAAACACAGAGAAACAGAAACTAACAAATATTAGAGAACTCCAAAATTTCAAGGTGGTCCCAAAATGTTGTCTAAAAGACAGGGGGCGAGGCATAACAAAGCCTTTCCTAAACACATATGTTTGTCGACAGAATGTTGCCATATGATGATTTAAAAGTTAAATTGCAAACTTATTTCGATGATATCCTTTGCTTGTATGAAAATGTGATTATTTGTAATAGTTGTGTAGTTTTAAATAAGAATATAATGACCAAACATGTAAGCTGTTTGCGCTATTTAATTAGGAAATATTTACCATACAATTTCTTTGTACAGGGTACTGGACAGAGTTTGGTTGGATTTATAAATCTTTTTTTTCTCAGACTCTAGGGTGGATGTGGTAAAGCATATCTTTAGTAAAATGAGACAGTATAATGAGAAATTCGAGGTGCAACACAGAAGAAGAAACAATATAGTCAAAAAGCATATGAGGACACATGATATAGAAATATAACTAGGCCCGAGCCACAGGGCTTGAATTCCAGTACTTGGGAGGCAGAGGCAGGCAGAACTCTGAGTTCAAACCCAGCCTGGTCTGCGTAGTAAGTTCCAGCACAGCCAGGACTACGTGGAGAGACTCTGTCTCTAAAGAGCAAGAAAATGAACTCTAGAAATACAAATGTATACCAACAGAAAGTGGCCATGTGTTGTTGCGAGAGTGGAGAAGGAGGAATATGAAGAGAGGGGAAGAGCCACGAGAAAACCGGGAAGTATACATTTCTACCTCAGTGTTCGGATTTGTAGAAGAAATGCCAACACTATCAAAAGACTTTTTCTTTTCCCAGGAAAGTAGGCCAGGGAATTCCAAAGAAGGTCACACCAGGAAGTAGCAGCCTAGGTCAGAAGGTGGGAGAAGGAAGAGAAAGCCTAGACCACAACCTTTACTAGAGTATCTGTGGGGAAGATAAGGCAGGGCAGGGAATACTTAAGCTTGGTTTTTAAACAAATCTAGTGACTTTGGGGTGTAGAGATTATCCTTATATATCTGCAGCCTGGCAAGGGTTGATTAGGGCAGGAGAATATTAATTCAACTTGTGAGCATTCGATAAGGTAATGGCTCTGGCATTTGACCTCTGGCTCACTGGGGAAATACAAATCGCTTATTATTTGGCCCTATAATTAATGGATACCAAATAGATAAACATAGGACAGGGTGATAGCAATGTTAACTATACTGACTAAAAATGATCTCTGTACTTATCAAACTATGTATCAAATATGTCTTAATAAACCATAAACATTTAAATTGTGATCACTGAAAGACTAGATATACCATCTTTAGACCACTTAAAACATAGAGGGAATAAAAGGAAAATCTTTATAGGAAAGGAGAGAGTAAGCAAAGACAAAAGAATGATAATGAGAAAAGACAAAACCACAGTATAAATGAGACCAGGTGCATCAATAATAACAATAAAATGTTTTCTTTTTTTTTTTAATTGAGAAAAGGAGAAAAAAAAAACAAGTTTCCACCTCCTCCCAGCCTCCCATTTCCCTCCCCCTCCTCCCCCCCTACGCCCCCTCCTCCCACCCTTCTCCCCCTCCCCCCACTCCTTTCCCCCTCCCTCTCCAGTCCAAAGAGCAGTCAGGGTTTTCTGCCCTGTGGTAAGACCTAGGACCTCCCACCTCCGTCCATATCTAGGAAGGTGAACATCCAAACTGGCTGGGCTCCCACAAAGCCATCACATTACGTAGGATCAAACCCCCGTGCCATTGTCCTTTGCGTCTCATCAGCCCTCATAGTTCGCCATGTTCAGAGAGTCCAGTTTTATCCCATGCTTTTTCAGTCACAGTCCAGCTGGTCTTGGTGAGATGTTTTCAATAGCTATCCATGACTGCTTACTCTCTGCGAGGCATTGTGTCAAGAACACTGAATCTCCTCAACAGTCCAGTGTTGAGATATGACAAGATTAAAGAACTTGCCTAGTACCATACACAGATGAATGGAGGAGTGAGGACTAGGACCCAGGTAGCCTGGGACATGTCTTTATCCACCACATCAGAACTAGTTTAAACCTGCCCACGCTGTGCTGCTTACAAATGACACTCCCAAAACGACCACACACAAAACGTGAAAGCAAAGACATGGGATCATGGGTCACTGGGAGTAACAGAATCAGGAGACAGCAAGACTGGCTAACTGCATGCTCCATCATCGTTAAAACAATACATCACAAAGATAGGAAAATGTCAATGTGTACATTCATGATTGCATCACTCTAAATTATATTAAAGGAAGATCTGGCCTAATCATAAAAAAGAAAGACTTTTAATGTAACACTAACAAGTGAGTTGATCAAATAATCAAAAATAGTTAAAAGATTAGAAAGAATAAATTTAGCAGGTTTGACCTAAGTCAGATTGTGAAAGATACATGGCATTCTATGACCTAAAAACAGAGGATAAATGTTTTATTTTGTAAGTTTCACAAATCATTTCCCTCTAAATTGTGTGGGTGAAGCAAGGGGTCACCAAGGAACTCTCGGTCTTGGCATCCAATAACAAGGAGATGGATTCAGAAGCCATGACAATGATATACCATAGAGACGGGGTTAGTAAAGGATGGTGTAGGAGCTAAATTGGTCACTGCTTGTTTTGTCTGGCTTAGGAGTTAAGAGTGACTTTTGCATTTTAAAATGGTTGAAAAAAAATCTGTGACATGAAAATTAAACTAAGTTCAAATGTCAGTGCTTATTAATAAAGTTTTATTGGAAAATAGCCATGTCTGCTTGGGGAATGGCTGCTTTTGTCCTGACAGCAGTATGGAGTTATCATTACAGAACCTGTATGACTGCATAACTTAACTTACTCTCTGGTTCTTTACAGAAGAGTTTTCTGACCTGATGTTAATCTGTATAAATAAATCATCTACAACGGCAGGTATCACTGTGGATAAACGTCAACAAACAACCTTGGGGAAAAAGTTCTGGCCATGAGGTGTGAGCTGTACGGCACCGCTACAATGTAAAGTTGCAAGCGCTACTACTTATTCTGTATGGGTAGTAACGTGTGTGGAACTTTAAAACGTGCATCGGAGTGATAAATACCAAAGTCCACAGAGTGATAACCACTAAGAAGGAAAAGAAGATAGAGTCTGAGAGATTCCTGGACATTTTAGCTGCTTCAGCCCAAAACATATATAGCCAAACAGTTTTTTTTATTAATTAACCAATGACCTTCCTCCATCACCAGGTGACAGCAGCCATGGCTGTGTTTGCCCATGGTGTATACTGTGTGCCTGACAGGCACTCAGCTCCTTCCTCAGTCAGATCCTGAGTCTGACCTGGAGGGCCATGGGCTAACAAACAGCCTTGTCAGTCTGGAGGAAGAAGCCACCTTTTCTAAGGTGTCAGTGACATCTCAAGCTTTGTAGTGGCCTTGATATGCCCACAACACAGCCATGGTCACATATGGTTGCTAATTGCAGTGCCACTTTTCCCACTACAAGTGCATAGACCTGTCCTGTTTCTCTCGGGGATCTCTTACCTTTGAAGCCCAAATTATCTCTACATTGGCAGCAGGCTGTCAAGTGCACACATGGTTTAGCGCCTAGTTCTAAAATTTGTTTTATCAACTATGTTAAAGTGTGTACAATAGACAAAGGAAGGGGGATGATAATTGGGAATCTGCAAATGTAGCTTTGATCCCTACTCTCCAGATCATTTTGGAGAGCTTTATCAGTCTTTTTATTTTTATACTCCTATCCTGTAAAATGGCAATGAATGTCATACTGACTACTTCACCAGATGTAGTTGAATTGAAATGATATGACAGCGAAAACCAAGGTGTGACCTGTGAAGTGGTAAATGTAAGTTATTAGTGTGCCCCTAAGAAAGCTGTCAAATCCCCAAGCCCAGTATTACTGATTTCCCTGAGACCATGGTTTTACAGACCATAAACAGCGTGGCGCTACTTCACATGGCGTAGAATTCCAACCCATATATTCACCTCTAAGAAGAGCCTGCAGTAATTAGTTTTTATATGGTGCATTATAATATGTTTTACGGTGCATGCCATCTCTTTGATAGCCAAATTATTCTGTGAGGTAGGTATTAGCATTGCCATTTCACAGATGTGGAAACTGAGCCATGGAGCAATAAAATGGCTTGTCCAAGGCCACATAGCCAGTAATCAGGAGAACAGCAACTAAATCGGAGCCTTGCCAACCATCCTGGGCTCTTTCAACTGTGCCACACTCTTCTTCAAAGTGCTCGCCCATCTTCACCTTGCAGGAAGAGTGCACTGGAACCAAGAGGGCTCATTGTCTCAAGATGGAAGAAGCAGAAGGCCGCCTTCTCAACTGAGGTTTCCATGTCTATTTCTGGAACAGCTTTGGACTCACGCACCCTGCCTGCATTTGTCACGATGAGGGTTCTTATTTGAACTTTAAATATGTGTACTTTTGCATAAATAAAGAGAGCCTCCAATAGCTCAGGAACTATCAAAAGAAAGCCAAGGGCTTGCTCTCTCTGCCAGAATCTTTATACATTATTAAACTACAGAGCACCCATTCTGAGCAACAGCTCTGTAAGAAAATACCAGCTTTATGCC